CCTTTTTTTTTTTTTTTTTTTTTTTTTTGTAATTGTTTTAAAGTTTCATAATTGTATATTATTTTTTTTTTTATACTTTTTTTTTTGTGTTTTTATAGTATTTTTTTTTAAAGTATTAATTAAATAAAAAGAAGCTTATAGGAGTTATAAATTAGTGAAATTATTTAAAAAAAAAAAAAGAAAAAAAGAAACTTGCCATGATGTAGAAAACTAACTATTCATATATATAATCCTTTTTATTGTTTATTTAATATATCAATATGTCAATATTTACAAAAAAAAGTTTAGATATATAAAAGTAAAAATTAGAATTATCAATTAAAGGAAAAAAACATAAAAAATAATACACATTAATGTATACATTTTCTTTTATAAAATGTTAAAGCTAATTTTATATAAAAAATATAAGATGTACAAATAATTTTAATATATTCTATAGACTTAGAATTTTTGTATGAATCATAAGAAAAAGTTATGATTATTACAAAAAAAGAAAATATACAAAAATGAGAAATAAAAATTAAAAGGAAAGATTGTATTTTATATTCTTATTATTACATATCTCAATAAGATTTGTTCTATTGTATTTTCAGATGTTTTATAAGTGCTTTTTCTATATTATTATACATGAATATATATACATTTTATTACAGATGATGAATATATATAAATATGTATTAACTAAATAAAAAATGTTTTAAATTTTAAGAATAAAAATTTTCAATATTAAATATATATACATATAAAGAAGAATTTTTTAATTTTTTTTTTTTTTTTTTTCGATATTTGAATACAATTTAAATAAATCAGGAAATTTTAGAAATTTTTGGTATGATTATTCAAATTAAAAAGAAACATGAAAAGGCTTAAGAAAATTTTTTTCAAGTATATATTCGTTAATATTTAAAATTTACAAATATTAAAAGATAAAAAATTTTTGATTAAAAAAATAATGAATATAATAAAATTTTTATATTTGAGATAGTATAGAAGGCACAAAAAAGAGTTTTTAAAAAGTTTACAATAAAATTATTCCGTGTTTGTAAAAATAAAAAATTTTTATTTAAATAAAAATATTGTTACTTTAATTAATATAAATATATAAATGATGTTCTATAATAAATTGAATATATTTTAAAGTAATATATATATATTTTTTTTTATTGGAACATTTTTTTATTTAATTAATTTTCAATTTTTAAATTTTGTGATTTTCTTTTTTCTTTTTTCTTTTTTTTTCTTTCAAATTTTTTTTTATTTTATTTATGCAAATATTTTTATGCTTTAAATCTTTTCTTTTTCCATATAAAATAATTTTTTTATTTTATTATTGTGTTATTTACAATTAATTTTTTTTTTTTTCAACATTTTTTTCTCTTACATTTATTTAAATTTTCTTTTATTTATTTAAATTAAAAATTAAAGGTATAAAAATATGTACATTTTAAAAAGTATAATGTGTGCATAATTACTTATTTCTTCTGTTAATATATTTACATATGGAATACATCTCTGAATTACTAATATAATTTTAATATTGAGCTTATAACTAATTTCAAACAATAATGTATTTTTATAACATCTGTTTTTTAATTTCATAATAGTTAATATTTATTTGTGAAAGAAAATTGTTTATATGATACCATTATTCCATTTTTTAAATATTGAATATATTTTCCTTTAGAAGTATAAAAAAAAAAAAAAAAAAAAGAAAAAATGAATGAAAAAAGAAAAGATGGAAAAAAAGAAAATATTAGTAATAATAAAGAGAATACTCAATTTAATGTTAATAATAAGAATGCCTATCAAAATAAAAATGATTTAAATAAATACTTATATAATACCCCTGATTATCCCAATTATAATATTGCAGGTAATGTAAATAATAATATGGCAAATTTTAGTGTTAATAATATTCAAAATAATTATCAGAGAAATAATTTACAAAATATTATGAACTATAATGATGATAATAAAAATAGTAATAATATAAATATGCAAGGAAATATGTCCTTAAATAACAAAAATTACGTAAATAATTTAAGCGATATGAATAAAAAGTTTTTCGATGAAGAAATTAATAAATATGCAAATAAGAATAGCCAAATAAATAATTATCAAAATAGTAATTTTTTTTATAACAGGAACGATAATTATTATCAAAATTTAAATAATCCTGATAATTTAAATTATAATTATTTAAACAAGTTTAATAAAAAAAATGTTCATAATAATTTAAATAATGAGAAAAATAATGTAGCAAGAGAAGAAAGTAAAAACGATTTATCATATTATATGAACAATAATGATAGTTATGTAGAATTATATATTAATAAAGTAAAAGAAATATATTATTTTCATGTATTTTATCATTATTTAAAATTAGGATTTCCTGAAAAAGAGGCGGCGATAGAATCAAAAAAATATATTTTCATAACTTTAAATAGATATTTCTTACTTGTAAAAAATGCAATTTTATCATCACCTGAATCAGTTAAACAAATAAACAATTGCGTTTCATCAAATTTATTATATTATCAACAACAAACAAACTTGCAACAATTTTTATTACAGCAACAGTCGAATTTACAAAATCTCAATTCACCAAAATTAAACCTATATGATCAAATGAATATAAATAATTTAAATATTGGTAATGTAAATTTATCTTTAAATGAGCAATCTAAATTGACCGATTTATCTAAATTAAATTCAAGTGATATTAATAATAACAAAAATAATAATAATTTAAATAGTAATATTATTAATAATAGTTATTCACAAAATGAAAAACAAAATAATAGCGATATTCCAAATAATTCATTAAATTACAATATAAATACCTCAACTAATATAAAAGAAAATGAAGAAAAACAAAATTATTTGAGCAATTATTACAATTTAAAAGCTGACAAAATTAACGATATGATTGATTGCATTGAAGAAATGAAGAAAATAAACAAAAAAAAAAAAGAAAGAAAAACATTTTCAGATTATCCACCAACACAGGTATTAGAATTACAAAGCAATACATTAGAAAATAAATTTAATATGAATAATTCCTATAATAATTTAAGCAATTACAATAATATTAATAATAATAATAATAATAATAATAATAATAATAATATTAATAATATTAGTAATAATAATAATATTAGTAATAATAATAATAATAATGAAGACGTATTTTACAATAATTTGAATTTAAGCAATATATCTGATTCTAATAATAATAATTTAATAAATTTAAAGGAAAATAATAATGAAGAAGTAAAAAAAAAAATTAGTTTTACTATAAATAAGTCAAAAAATAAAATATTTCAAACACATAACCGATCTCAAAATGATATAAATCATAAGCCACTAAGTGAAGTAAGTGAAGTGAGTGAATTGAGTGATGATAATAAGAATGAAAAACAAAAGGAGAAAAATAAATTTTCTAATAATATTCATGAAGAAAATAATTCCATGAATAATAATTATAGAAATATGTATATTTATGAAAATAATAATAATAATAATAATGATAACAAAATAGTAAATAATAATATAAAAAATGATTTTAACAATGTGAATATAAATAATACTATAGGAAATATAAATAATATAAAAGGAATGGATAATATTTTTAATTTAAATATTAACAACACAAATAAAAATGGCAATAATCTTTTAAATTATGATAATAATTTTTGTATCAATAATAACGATGCAAATTATAATGTATTAAAAAGCACACACAATTTTTCTAACTTTGATAAATTAAATAATTATAATAATTTCATAAATAATAACCATAATTTTCATAAAAGTATGAATATTAACAAATACAATTACAGTAATAATAAAAACTTGAAGAATTCAAATAATATATATAATTCGAATCATATGAATATTTCTAATAATGTTATTAAAATAAATAAAAATAACTCTATTAATGGAATTAAAAAATATAATTTTATGAATAATAAAGAAGAAAATAATGATAATAAAATAAATAATTTTTTTAAAATTGATTATTCTACAAATAAGGAAAACATTTATAAACCTTTTATTAATGAAATATACAATAATAATGAATATGAAGATGATGTTTTTGAAAATAAAAATCATTATATGAAAAATAATTATATTGAAGAAGGAAAAATAAAATACAGAAATAAATTAGAAGATAAAAATATTTATGAGAATAAACAAAAAAAAATAGAAGATAAATTAGAGGAATCAGAATCAGAAAAATCTGAAGAAATCGACATGGAAAAATTAGATGATGCATATAATTCGGAATATTATGAAGAATATTCAGATAAACAAGAAGATACAGATGAAGTAGTGAATTTTAATGAAAGAGATATGAACAAGAAATATCAATTAAATAACAAAAATAATAAAATAAATAAATTATCTAACTTACATTTTTTTCAAAATAAGAACGAAACAACTGATAAATTTAATAGTTTTAAAACATACATCAAAAATTTAAATGATCATTTTAAAGAGCATTGCAAAAATAAGGAATTCGCTAAATGTCTAAAAATATTTATAAAAAAATTATATTCTTTAAAAAAAAAAAATAAAACTAATTCATCTTTGTGGATAGATAACATTTTACCAACTGTAGAAGATGTATTATCAATGGACATTTATTTTTTTTCCTATCCTAAAAGTAATTTTTTTTTTTTTTTTTTTTATTATAACACTTTTTTTATTTTATGCTTCTAATATTTTGATTCATTTTTGTTTTTAGGGTTAAAAAGAAAAATTGATAATAATAAAGAAATGAATAATAATTTAATTGGTAATAATTTAATTGAAAAAAAAATAAAATTAAGCCAACAAGAAATTGAAAGAAGAGAAAAGAGAAAGGAAAGATTTTATGATATTTCAAAAAATAAAAAAGATGAATTAATTGAAAATGCCTTTTATATAGATGATGATATAAAGGACGAAAAAGAAAATGATGAAGATATGAATCTTGATAAATTAATTGAAAAATACAATTATTCCAGTTGTTATAAAAATAAAAATTTTGTTGGAGAATGTAAAAATATTCAAAAATTTTTTTTTCGATTAACCTCATTACCTGAAAAAAAAAATGTAATAAGATATATAAAAATAAATGAAAAAAAAAAAAAAAAAAAAAAAAAAAAAAACTATTCACATCTTTTATATTTATTTAAATATGATTTCTTATTAGGTAAGGAGTTTTTCAGTTTTGAAATGCACATACGCATATATATTATATAAATATAACATAGACAAAAATTATAAGTACATAAATGAACAGTTTAGATCATTACGACAAGATTTAAATATACAAAATATTTTTCATAATGATGTTATAAATATTTATGAAACTAACATAAGGATATGTATTGTAAATAATGATCTATTTCAGTTTCTTCAATGTATAAATAAATTATTTGAATTATATCAGAGACTAAACATAAAAAAATCAAAAGTAATATTTTTTTATTTTTTATTTTTTATTTTATTTTATTTTTTTTTTTTTGTTTAATTAAAACACTGAAAGCAATAAAATTATCTATATTGTAACAATAAAGTTATTGGACATTTTTTATTTTAATTTTTTTTATTTTATTAGGTTGAATTTTTGTGCTATAAACTTATATATTTAACTTTGCAAAATATGCATCAAGAATTCCTTGTAGAGTATTTAACCCTGAGTGAAGAAGAAAAAAATCATTCAAATATACGACTTTGTTATTATTTAAATGAGTGTATAAAAAATAAAATGTATTTAATTAATATTAATATGATATCACCTTTGGATGCTGAATTAAACCATGAATATATATATTATAGAATTTTTTTAAATAACCATATATTAAAATATTTACCAAGTTTAATGTCATTAAGTGAAAATGCAGTTTTGAATGTGAATATTGATTCTCTAGTTTCATTTGTAAAAAATCATGGGAAAATAAATGAATTTGAAAATAATGAAAATCAAAATTCGTTGGAGAAAAATGAAGTAGTTAAAATGCCATATTTAACTAATTATTTAATTGTTTTGTTTTTACCTAAATACAGACTTTTAGCACTTATAAATATTTGCAAGTAAGTTATTTAAAAAATGGCATATATATATATATATATATATATATATATATATATATATATATTGAGAGATACTCTTATTTATATGATATTTTATATAATTATTTTGTATATCATCACTTTAAAAATAAATGAGTAAATAATTTATTATTTATATTTTATATATACTTACATATTAATTAATTCATAAATATTATTATAAGAAAAAAAAAAAAAAAAAAACATTTATTCCTATTTTGTATTTATGAGACTGTTTATGTAATGTGAGTTTTATTTATTTTATTTTATTTTTTTTTTTTTTTATACATTTTTATTTATAAATATATATTTACTATTTTTTTAGAACAAGCATAAAGGTAAGTATATCTACGTTAACAAAATTATTAAACTTTGAAAATGATGAACAGTGCTTAAAATTTTTAAACGAAGTAAACACCATTATAAGTAACAATGAAGTCTTAAGTAAATCTTCACTTGTTAACCTTATGAAATCTCCACTTTTGAAAAATAAGTATATTAACCATATAAGATAAAAGAATGTTTTTTTTTTTTTTTTTTTTTTTTTTTTTTA